TGGAATAAAACAGAGAATCTAGAAATAGAACAACACATATACGGTCCACTGAGTTTTGAAAGATTATTTAACATAAAATTTTATAGAACATAAACTCAACTCAAGAGCAGAGGAAAAGACAGTGTTTTCAGCAAATGGTACTAGAACACCTGGTATCCGTATATAATAAATTAACCTCAACCTTTTATTTCCATACATAAAAATAACTTGAAAGGATATATGAACCTAAATATGAAAGACTAAAACTATAAAACTTTAAGAGGAAATTAGGAGGAAAAATGTCCATGAATTTAGGGTAGGCAAGAATTTCCTAGGATACAAAAAACATGATGTATATAAGAAAAAAATTGATAAATGAGATTCCATCAAAATTCAGAACTTTAAATGACATTGTTAAGAAAATGGAAAGTAGTCCTTAAACAGACCATATTTATAATACATATAACCTATGACCAGAATATATAAAGAACTCTTATAGCTCATTAATAGACAACCCAGCTAAAAAGTAGACACAAGAAGATGATAAATAGCCAGTATAGGACAAAGAAAGGTGTGCAACACTAGAATCAGAAAAATACTAATCAGTACAATAACAAGATCGTATTATACACTCATTAGGGAGATGAAGTTCAAAGTTTTAAAAGAACTAATGTCAGCTTAGGTGTGAGCCAGTTAGAACTTTCTAATAGTGCTAATGTGAATGTAAAATGGTAAAACCATTTTGGAAAACAATATAGGAATTTCTTGAATTACTGTTAAGAACCAACAGTTCTGTTCCTAAGTCTTTACTTAAGAGGAATGAAAACACATGTTCACAATAGATTTGTACATACAAGTTGACTATCCCTTATCTGAAATTCTTGGGACCAGAAGTGTTTCAGATTTTGGGTTGAAATCCACTTGATCTGCAAAGAGGATAGCTGCTCCTGCTTTTTTGGGGGTTTCCGTCACGTGGAGTATATTTTCCACCCTTTAACTTTCAGTCTATGAGTTTCTTTTTGAAGTAAGTGTGTTTCTTGCATGCGGAATATTGTTGGATCTTGCTTCTTGACCCATTCTGCCTGTCTATTTCTTTTGATTGGTGAATTGAGACCATTAACATTGATGGTTATAACTGATATGTATTGATTTATCATTG